AAGTTCAATTCCCCTTAATAGATGTCCAACCCTGGACAAATCAATTAACATCTCTGCACCTCATTTTCCTCATAAGGAAAGTGAACAAGTTGAACTCGATGCTCTGTAGCATTTATATAGCATTTTAAGGTTTGCAAAATGCTTTACATGTCATCTCATTGGATCCTCACAACAACCCTGCAGCATAAGTGGTAGTATTATTCTCCTTTTATGCATGAGGAAACTTCAGCAGACAGAGGTTAGGTGACTTTTCCAGGGTCACACAACATGTTAAGTGTCTGAGGCCAGATTTGAACTCAAACCTTATTAACTCTAGGTCTACTGCCCAATCCACTGTACCACTTAGCTGCCTCTCTTGGCTATATAATGTTATGCCTACTTATAAACCAAATATTCATGAACCTCGTTACCCAATTTGACTAGGAAATCCCCCAGTGAAGCCAGGGGCTTTAGTTCTGCTTACTCTAGGACAGTGTCTGCTTTCTTTGGGGGACTGAGGCTAGTTTCTTATATAGCCCTGACACTCTTCTCTGGCCAAGTTTGGCTCTTTCCTGTACATATGATTTCAATTTAAATATTGAGGTTTCTCGAATCTTCCTAATATTACAGGAAAAAGGCTCAAAAAATTAATTTTGTTAAGTCACTTCTTAACATCACCATGTGCTCTGAAGTTGGCCTATTAATTCTCCACTAGAGTCTAAAAAGTGGGGAAGAGCTGCTTTTCAAATAGGGTATTTATAATCTCAGGTAATTTCTCAGTTCAGAACTTCAATACCTTCATCCTCTTTTTTCTAATACTCACACAGACAGTAAGTGTCTGAGACTAGATTTAAACTTGGATCTCCCTGATTCCTGATCATATACGCTACCCACTGGGCCACCAACTGTCTCATCCAGAATGAATGCTAACCATAACCTTAAGAAATGCAAAATGAGAACTAGTAGAATTCCCACTAACCAGGTGACTAGTACTTTTCAAACAATACTGGTTCCCCAGAGGAATTAAGGAAAGAGGGGAAATAGTTGAGAAATTAATGAAGGCCAGACACAGGCTTTTAAGTATACAAAAATAAGCTGATGCAGAGAAGAAAGGTAGAATCCATTCTTAGACTTGAGGTCCATTTAGTGACCTATGAGACTGCCATCCTCCCATTCCCAGTATTCATAATGACAAAGGTTACAAATGCCCAACAATTTATTTAGCTGCTACGTCAAACTATTGACTCTTTCAACAGTGAATCTTGCCATACCTGACACAACATATAAGGCTGAATTACTTTTATAGGTTTTACATAGTCAACCTTTTCATGTCAAGTGACAGGCTCCCCATTAATCAACAAGAGTATTCACTCAAAAACCCCCTTACCTAATTTTGAACAGCTATTTCTAAGACCAGAACCTCAAGAGAAAATGTCATGGAACATTGTATAGAGATACATGTGGATAAACATGTCTAGAAGTGGCAAAAGTGGAGGAAACCTAGAAATGGGAGATTCTTCTCCTTTTCCTTTTTAAGAAATTCACAAGTAGATTTAGTGGTTATTTATTTCCTCCAGCAATTAGATGTTGGTTTTAGCATATTGCTTTCGGTTTTAAATTCATAGGGTCATAGATTTGAAGTGACCTTAAAATTCATCTAATTCCTTGATTCTATTCAGAAAATAGTGGAGATCATTGAGTTGTGTGGTTTCTCCATCCGATTCCTTTTGAGTCATGAACACAGTAACCCCTGTTCTGCCACTGTTGCTTTGTAGGTCCTTATGTGTGGGGAGTTTTCTGGGCTTCTCTACTATATGTTTAAGACAAGACTAGTCTCAGAAAAGTGAGGACACAATAGTAACAGTAATTCACATTCTAGTAGTACTTGAAGGTTTCCAGATGATTCTCCTCCCAACAACCCTCAAAGAAAGCTAGTACAAGAATTATTATTCTTATGATCCTTTGAACTGAGACTCAGAAATATTAAGTGTTTTTTTCCGTGATCACTCATAAGTTTCAGATCTTGGCTGCAAACCTGGATCTCTTGGCTCCAAGGTTGGTGTTCTTTCTAGGGCGCACCAGAATCAAGAATTTCAGAATTAATTCAACCCATATTTGAACAAGAATCCTCTCTTCAACAGCCTGACAAGTATCCATCCAACCTTTTCCTGAAGGCTTCCAGTGATGAGTAACTTACTCTCTTCTCATGCATTATACTCAGATGTGCTTATAATTATCCACACTCCTGATTATATTCCACTTTTAAATATACAAAGTTGCCTTTTAGAAAAAAAGCTAAAATCAGCATCTCTGCAACTTTCCCCATTCCCCTGAGTAAATCTTTAGCCACCACTCTAAGGGTGTCAGCAAATTAGGACACTTTAAAAAAAAAAACTTTGGGTTATTGAGTTTGGTTTTTCTCATCTTTTCTCTTGGAAATAGTTCCATTCTAACTTCAGTAGCATTGTATGATTTCCATTCTGTCCGCTCCTGTCCTCCCTCCCCTCCCCTCCACCATAGTAACAAGTGGCCCAGAATAATGCCTTTCAATAAAGAACATGAATCTGACAAGCAATAATGAAATATTGCATTCTGGCTCCTACAAAATGAGTTGATGTTGTCAGTGCGTATAGGCCCATGCGCACGCGTGTGTGCACACACACACATACACACAAGTTGAACATCCTAATGGCCTCTCCACCCTCCTACTCCCATCACTGTTTGTCCATTCCCTTCTACTGCCTACCTGTCTTTTGAGTACACAAGCAGATTGCTGAAAAAAGCAATCAGAAGCAAAGAATCTGCAGAACAAGGGATTTTCAATAAAGCAATACAAGCCCCATCATTTTGCAGATGAGGAAACAGGTCTAGAAAGATGGGATGACTTGTGCATGGCTAAGTGGTGGCAGTGCCAAGACTAGAGACTTGGTCTCCTGAAGGTGGAGAGTGGCATCTGGAAGAGTTTGCCATATAGTAATCACAGGGCTTGCCAACTGGTCGGGTATGGGGGAATTCAAAAGTCAGGGTTAAAGGTGAACCAAATATCACAAGCCTGGATGACTGGGTGGATCGTGGTAGCATCGCAGAATTAGAGAATTAGAGAGGAGCAGGTTTTAGGGGACATCAGAGGTGTTCACTTTTAGGTGTATTGCCTCAAGTGTCAGCAGGATGTTGTGATAGGATCATTTGGTAGGGAGTTCTAGGGAGAGATTGGGGTGAGTCAGAGATTTTGATTTTGGAGCTGTCTGCATAGATGCTAAATGACATTATAGGAATAAATCATATTGCTTAGAGAGTATAGAAAGAGGTGAGAGTTAAGGATAGGAACTTGGGGGAAAAAAATCCACATGTAAGGGTAGAAGGATCATAGATTGTTGGTGAAAGAGCAAAAGGGATCTCACTGGCCATACAGTCTCCCCCTTTTCTTTACAGCTGAGGAAACTGAGGTCTAGGACAAGTCTAGTGACTTGTCCAAGGTCACACAAATAGCTGTCCGAGATAACATTTGAACCAAAGTCCTCAAGAATCAGTGGTCTTTCCACTTTCCACAGGCAGAGAAAATATGATCAAAGAAGTCATTCATATAATCAACCAGGTTTAAAACCTTAGTCATCTTTGACTTCTTGCCTATCCTAGCCTTCACCTCCCTCTTCCCCTCACCAATCCCGTCATTGAATTACATCAACTCAGTGCTTCCTCACCACACCTCATCTCACTGAATCATAAATACATGGTTAAGTGGACCTATTATAGAAGAATTACGCTTTCCATACTATCCCAGCCTAACTAATAATACCTAAAGGCCTTAATAGACTTCTTTAGCAAATAATCCTTTAACTCTAACACTCAGAAAATGACAAGCTATAGAAATAGCTCAAACATTATAGCACTACATAAGGCAGACACAACAAGGAAAGAACTAGATATAGCACTTCAGTCAGGCTGAGTATCTTCCACTACAATATGGTCAAAGTATGTGCTCCACTGTGGGAATGTATTTGGAGTGAAAAGCTGTGTGGAGGATGGTGTAAATAGTTGACAAGGCCTGTCCTAGCCCAGTCCTATGGAAAGCCCTTACTAGGTAATTTCATAAGGATAAAGTTGGGGTCATGTTCATGAACAGTTATGGTTTTTTAAAAGTAGCTCCAATGGACATCATAAGAGGTGTAAATGAAAGGTTTACAGCCACATAAATTTTCATCTTCATAAAAAGTTGGTAGACATCACCTTGCCCTCAGAACAACATTTGCTGGCCTCCCTTTCCTTGCTACAGTGACAGGTGTTCTTTTCCCATACAGAAATTATTTTTCCTAAGATGGTTATCCTACAGCTTCCAAACATTCCTAGCGAATATACCAGGGCTATCCCAGGAGCTACACATCCAAATTTATTGGAAACACAATGGTTTCCTCTTTCCTCTTCCTTCAATATCTTCAGCTATGCTAATAAAGCCTTGGGACAGTGAGGCGTTATACATAAGGTCATATAGTCTGGGAGTCTTCGGTGGCCCTTAGGCGCTGTGGTAGCTTTGATATTCATGTGAGCCTACTGTGACCCTGCTTGGTCACCCCTTGATTGGTTTGGTACCAAGTCTGCAATTGTCTCCCCAACTCCTAGTACATCAACTCGTTAATTTGGAAATTATTTATTGGTGGGAACACCTGCTTTCACAGGAGAAAGTATGTTAAATCTGGTCTCAGTTAATTTTTCTCCCTACTGAAAATGATGCTAGACCAACAGAAAGTCCAAGACCATAGTCTCCTTTAAGGGGCTGCTTTCAAATCTCTTAAGGACCATAACAACTCAAGCGCTTGTTATGGGAAAATAGTTTTGAGGACTGATGATGCCAAGAGGGGAAAACAAAGGTAATAATGTTCATGGGGGAAAATGAAGTTGAGGCTAATGGGTCCTCTACAGGTTCTGTTTATGTACTTTCCCACCTGCCTCTCTGCTCTAACATGTTTCTTGCTTTCTTTCTCTCCTAACTTCCTTTCTCTCCCAACTTTCCTTCATCTTTCCAGATGCAAGACGCAATGGGCTATGAGTTACCTTGGGTGTATTTTGTCAGTCTGGTCATCTTTGGATCCTTTTTCGTTCTAAATCTGGTTCTCGGTGTATTGAGCGGGTAAGCTGACCATCTCCATGTCCTCTTTCCAATGCAGCCGAGCAGGGCTCCATCACCAGGATCTTCGTGGATGGGACCTTTGTGGATGTTGGAAACACAGAAAATCAAAATCTCTTGGTTCAAATAAAAGCACTCATACATTAACAACATTTGGCTTCTAATTTGGCCTGGAAGGAGAGTTAGGTCCCAACATTCCTGATACCAGTGACTTGGGTCCCCAGTGGAGCTTTGCCATGCTCGGTTGCAGAGTGTGCCTCACTAACTATCATTCCATTCTTCCAGGTCAATGATGCCGTAGGAAGGGACTGGCCCTGGATCTATTTTGTTACACTAATCATCATAGGGTCATTTTTTGTTCTTAACTTGGTTCTCGGTGTCCTTAGCGGGTAAGCAGTACCAAAGAAAACATTACTGTTTTTCATTTGTTTTATTTATTCTTTTCATTCTTGGCTTTACACGTTCTCTAGGTCTCACCAAACCTAGTGAGACAAATGAGTCAGTTTCAGGAACCTTTAAACAAATGGCCTTGGCCTGTTGGGTAAAAAAGCATAGACTCCCAACAATCAATCCACTGGTCTGGATAATAGACAATAGGGGTGAACAGATGGCTTCAGTAAGAGATGACCAGGCTGATATGACATTCATTATACCAGCTATGTCAGCACCACCCCAAGTAGCCTTTCCATAAGAGCAAAATGCTCTTTTGCACTCCCTAGTGTGAAGGTATGTGAAGATATTCTTTTAAGTAGGGAAGTCAAAGCATTCAATTGGTGTTAGGGAAGGCTCATAGAGGTTGTTTCTTAATATATATAGCAGCCTTGGAGCTACCTATTTGCCTGAATTACAGGGTCATAGTAGGCCATTAAATAAGAATGAGACTTACTTTCATTTAGCTTCATTTTGTACAACTAGAAGAATATTGGGTTGGTTTTTTTTTATTTAGCTAGTAAAATGTTTATATTATTTATAAACTAAAGGCCTTTATTGCTGATGTACCTTTTTCTCAATGGAAAGGGAATTTGGTCATTTAAAGAAATACACTATCTAGGGAGATGAGGGGTACATTATAATTTTGCTCAGTTTCCAAGAGAGTCTTCATGAATCCAGCCCACTACAGTGTGCTAAAAGAATGAGATCCAATGTAATTTTGAAGTCAGATTTTTTAAAAAGTAGAGGAAATGGGGTATGATTGGGGTATTAAATATCCCATGGGTAGACATCTGTGCACCTTGGGGAGCCAGCTGAATGCCTTCTCACCACCCACCTACTCTGCCATATGCCCATACCAGCCATGCCAAGACTGGCCCTAAAAACCCTTACTGATGAGCCTTTGATTCATTGTTGCTGCTCTGTTGCTGCTTTTACTGAGCTCTATCTGTGATGACATTATAGTTATTTTGGACCCCAGTGAGAGTAGTTCAGCTCAGCTTCTTTTAGTAACCTTTCCTAGATGCCAAGGGCCATTAATGCCAAGAGACATTCAGAGAAAAAAGCTTGCCTGTCGTTGCCAGCTTGTACATAAGTAAGGAGTAGTTACCACTAAGCCTCAGAGAGCCTGGGAACTCCACAGAATTGGTGTTCTTGGTCTGAAACTGGGGAAGAGTGGACTACCCCCACCTCACCCCCACTCCCTTCCTGTCTCGTCTCTGGTATGGGCAACTTATTTACAGATTTTGCTGGCCTAATCCCTTTTTTCAAATTCCAAGGTGAGCTCATGAATGAAAACCAGTGCAAACTTTGAAAGGGGAAATAGAAAATAGAGGTGGGAGGAAAAGCAAGATCCTCTGATCTAATGCATGGAGGGTGGGCATTTTTTATGGTTATGTTCTCTATTATATTCCAACACAAGAAAATATTTGTGTCTTTAAGTTCACCTCTCAAAGATAATTTTAAAACTATGGCCCAGTCCCACTCCACCTCCGCCCCCAGAATAGAGGTAGGTAGAGAGGGGTGGAGAGAGGAAGAAGAGACTACTCATACTAGCACAGAGCTATAAGGGGTCTTTTTGATCCTCTAGAACAACCTACTCATTTTATAGATGAAAGGTTGAGGCCCAGAGAGCTGAAGCAAATTGACCAAAGTCCTGCACGTACTAAATGACAATGCCAAAATCTGAAGACAGGTCCTCTGTCCAAAGAGTAAGTGTGCTTTCCTTTATACCATGCTGATCTCCTTTTTAACCATACTTCCTGTTTTTGAACCCACAATGAATGACACTAAACAGTATTCAAAGTCAGATCTTTAAAGATTAAACCAAAAAATACCCCACTTATCTTTCTCCCTAAATCTGAATAACTGTGGAATCCTCTTCACTGAAATCTGAGGTTGAGGATAGGGATGAGGTCATTAAATTTGTTTCATTCTCCTGAGATCTTCATCCTTGGGATCTGCCCCTAATATAAATATCACCAACAGAGAATCCCCTTTCTTAAGCAGAGATAGCTGGCATAACAAAGCAGGATGAACTAAGACAGCAAGTAAAGAAAGAAAAATGGGGGGGAAATCCACTTAAAGCCAAAAGTTGGCCTGGCTTACTTCATCATTAGTTCCCAAAATCATTTCTGGCTATCCGTAGTCAGTACTGGAGTCCAGTATTTCTGATAAATTCCTTAACCTTTGAGTATACAAATCTATTCAATGACCCTTCCTGGAAATCTTACTAGGAAGTGCCATATAACCAATTCTTGGTGACACTACTGTGTTCCTCATGGCCAAAGCTCTGCCCTCCAGAGTTCCTGGCAAGACTGTCTGCTCTGTGTGTGCCAGATTCCCTGCCTAGCGAAGATGATCAGAGAGGAAGCTGGAGGAGAAAAAAAAAATTAGGAAGGAAACAATTGTCCTTCCTGGTTTAGGAAGGACACTAGCAGCTAATCTTCTGCAGAAGAAGCAGGGAACTTTGCATAGATTTTCTCAAACATCTGGATTCTCAAAGCTGAAGCTACTTTCTCTAACTTTTTCTCACCGGCTGATATAACCTGATAACAAGTTAAATCCTCCTAATCTAACCAGGGAAGAGGGAGCTAAATCACCAACTAGAATAATAGTCCCTGGTCATTTTGTGTTGGGCAGCCACTTTTACAAACCTCAATAACTCCTGAGGGAATTCCTGAGATAGAAAACTGCATAGCTACCAAAGAAAATAAATAACTGAGTATGGGAAACACAAATAAACCCAGCCCTTCACATCTTAATATCATTGAAGGAGACCTGCATTACAAAAGAATTTGATAAGTGATGTTTATCAAAATAACCCTGAATCAGGGGCAGCTAGGTGGTGCAGTAGATAGAGTACTAGCCCTAGAGTCAGGAGGACCTGAGTTCAAAACCAACCTCAGACACATAATACTTCCTAGCTGTGTGACTCTGGGCAAGTCACTTAACCCCAACTACCCCACTAAAAAAATAAAATGAAATAACCCTGAATCATAAAAAGTTCAACTATATTCAGCATGCTTTATTCACAAAATCAGGAAAATCTATACTTTGTTTCAGAAAGTTTTCCAAGAAAAATGATTTAGAATAAAATAATTTCCATGCTGCAAGAATTATGCTTGAGGCAGCTGCAGTCAAAATGGAAAACAATGGATTTGGTGAAGACCTGACTTCATTTTCTAGTGTGACCTTGGACATTTAACATTTCCTCTCCTAGAAAATGGGACAATAATGCTTTGTACTACTTATCTCAGGGGTTAGGACCAAATGAGATAGTGTATACAAAGTATTTTGTAAATCATAAAGCTTATATGAATGTCAACTATCATTTATCTGGCATTGACATGGGATGAGGGCTCTGTATAATGACATTTCTAGATGATGAGGATGATGAAGTTGTGAATGGTGGTAGTGGTGATTATATTAATTTTTCATTTAGCCAGAATATTTCACTCACTGAAAATCCATATGAATGAGATATTACCTGACACTCATATCACATTGAACATTCAAATTATATACATATGTGTGTTTATACACACAAGCACATATATATGTATATATTCATACATATACATATATACCTTCATCATCTCATTTATTCTTACAATAGTCTTATGAGTTGGGTAAGGCAGGCATTTTTCCCATTTGACCCTTAATTACAATCCCCTGAAGAAGCTTCATTTTCAAGAGCTAAAAACAATTATAGTGACAGGTTCAAGACTGTTTCTGAAATTGTCTTTGAGACTGAATCAGCTAATAATCTGCAGAATCTAAAATCTTCAACATCTTTTTTCTTCTAAAGGACACAAGAAAAATGCCTTCAGTTGGCAACAAATGGTATGGAACTTGGAATCTCTTTGGCTTAGTAATCATTAAATTTTTCTCCCTCTGACCGAGATAATCCTGACCCAAGAATAAAAAGGAAGAACCAATTATTTAATGGAGGAGGAAATTTGTAACCTTGGGGTTTTAACAAATTGTCACAGATTCAATTTGTTCAGATTCAAAACTCTGTTTTAGAAGGCTAGAAGTGAAAAGGCTAGGAAATATACTTCATCGGGTAGGTATGCAATTAGCTTCTGAGGGAATTTCTGGCCCTCAAAGCTGTGACTTTAGAATAAGATTTAAAAGTGGAAAACACTTTAAAGCTCATCTAGTCAGTCCACCAGTCTATATGGCCTAGACTTTTCAACTGCATCTCCCTTTTTGTATGTTTTACGTTTCTAAACAACAACATAGGGACTCTCAGACCCATTTTTCTTGGTAGCTATTGCTGGTGATGAATGTATTTCTTCCTTAAGGCAAAATCCAGGGTTGCGAGTGATTGTAAAACTAGCTTCAGTCCCAAGGCCCAACACAGCTCCCATCAGGTTAGGGTTTAAATGTCTTCATTAGCTCAGGACCCGGTGCAGAAAGATGGCGGGCATCCAAGTAAGAAGATAAAGGAGCCAGGCTCTGCCATCCAGCAAATCATTACTGTCCTTGGTTTGGCAGAGATCAGCCTTTATTTCCCTCCTCACTGCCACACTTCTGGGTCATACCACAGGATCATTGGGGCTGCAGGAGGATCATCTCCTGCCCTTCCTCGAAATATTTAATTGTGCAATTCAAGGAAATGAAGTCTTAAAACCCATGAAAGTTAGGTATCTGATAAGCAAATGCAAAACCTTGCATTTTTCATCCCCCACATTTTTAGTGAACTTCACTTATGGTATTGGTTACATAGATAATTCTCATTCCACTGGGTTCCAAAATAAAAATGGCTCAGTTTCCCCTACTAGTTTGTTCTAGGTTCTGGACAAGTCACCTGACCTCTTGGAGCCTCAGTTTCCTTATTTATTAAATGAGGGACCTTTCAAGGTCTCTTTCAGCTCTAAAATCCCATTATCCCATCGTCCCTCTAAGAGGAAGTTCTGGTTATGACCAGAACCTGAACTCTCTCCTACTCTGGATTGCCTGCAAAAAAAAAAAGTGGAATATTTAGTTACTCAGTGCCCTCTTGGTTCTGGTACTTGCCCCATTCCATAGGAAATTAGTTAGGGGTTCATCTTCTATTAGGAATGGGAAAGGTATAGATAACAGGAAAGGTAGTCTCTGAGGGAAGTCAAGTAATTAACAACTGAAATGGAATTCTGGATGCAGGACACCATCCCTTGGGGGCAGGATTGAGGTGGGGTTAGTAAGGTACAAAGCAGGAGGCAGATAAGCCAGCATTGCTGCCTGCCACGCCCCACCATTGGCACATAAACATGATATGTGCTGCTGGGGGCGGGGGTGGGTTTGGGGGTGTCCATCTTCAGTGCCAGCTGTCATTCTGGCACTTTTTTCCGTAATATAAGAACTCCCTAGGAAAGTAAATGGAGTTATGTGGTTGGCTGGCCAGGAGCCAGGGAAAGAGAAAGTTAAATCCAATTAGAATTGGACTCAATCAAAATTAAAAACAAAACTCAATCCAAGCCAGAATGTCTTTAAGGAAGCAGTTGAAAAGAAGTCATTAGAATGAGGCCCCCCCACCCACCTCTCCCAACTAAAAAGAAAAAATTCCTTGCCCCACTTTTCCTCACTTCCTTCCTTTTAACTATCCACACATACAGCCAGAAACCTGCTGCACATCATTCCAACCAAATGATGAATACAGTAAACAGTACAGGCAGACTACAGAGACAAGATGCTCACCCTCAAAAGTGCATGTGGAAATAACGCTGCCAGTTAAGTGGCCATCTTATAGTTTATCTGGGTTGCCCTTCCCTCTTCTCTATTTGGACATCTATTCCAATTGAAACGTCTGGGGAAGAAATTCCACCCTATCCCAGTTGACTTCTATAAGCTCTCAGCTTCTGGCTGGAACTTTTCAGGCCGAGGATGGGAAAACTAAAACTGCAGGTAACCACTAAATTATTCCCTAAGTCCCCTTGGAACCAACATGATGAGGAATAAATTAACAATGATTCTTCTGTGAAAGTTGAAAGTCAGTCTTATATTATCCACCATCCTTAACACACAGGCATACACTCATTCCCCCTCCGCCCACCCACACACATACACTCATTCCCCCCCCGCCCCACACACCCCCATACACTCATCCCACACACACACACACACATACACACACACACACACACATATACACAAGTTTGAGTTCAGAAGAATAAAGCAAAAGAGCTTTATGTGTAATTCAAGATAACAGATAAAGAACCACAGTTGAATAGAAAAACAAACAAGAAACACTGTCCCAGCAAAATCATAATTCCATTGAAATCACTATTGTTTTAATATTAAATTTATCTTTCGATTTTCATATTATCTGAGATTTGGAGTTTTTTTAATGAAAGGTATTTTCTTGTGTTCGGAATCTTTGCTATTTATTTTTTTGTGGGAAAGAACCTTTGTTCTGAAAATCTTTTTGTACCTAACAGCCATTGGATGTTCTTAAATGTGGAGAGTAGAGAGCACAGAGATTAGAACACTCTCTCTGAATGCCTTTTATAACTTAATTGACCCTGAGACTTCCCATGTTGTCTACTAAGTACCAGGATGCTGGCTAGTGTATGTTCAAACAGGGATGAAATCATGGGTTCCATTCTTTTAAGTTTTCATAGCTGCTATATGTAATGGATTTTTCAGAGAGTAGGTACTGTAGAAATGCTAAGGTCATGATCTAAAGTAGAGGCAACCTTCCCCACCCCCATTTAGGCTGGTTTGTGATAGTTCTGAAGATCCTCTTCAATGCTTCTTCCCTAGTCATGTGACAAGAAGTGGAGTGTATAGACAGAGTATCTATCAGAGGTAGGGGTATATGGGCAGGTTTTCCTGTGGAACCCCATCTAATCCTGTTGTTTTTTCAATATCCCTACATTTCCTCCCCTTCCTGCTTCCCACCTCCTCCTCTTCCTCCTCCTCCTCTCCCTGTTTCCTCCCATCCCACCCCACACACACTACTCCCACACTCGCTCACCAGAGAGTTTTCCAAAGAGAGAGAGAAGGCAAAGGCTCGAGGAGACTTCCAAAAGCTGCGAGAGAAGCAGCAGCTAGAGGAGGACCTCAAAGGCTACCTGGACTGGATTACTCAAGCTGAAGATATTGACCCTGAGAATGAAGATGAAGGCATGGATGAGGAGAAGCCCAGAAACAGTAAGCAAGTCTTCTCTATCTTTGGGCATGGTGTTGGGAGGGAGGGAGCAGAGGTCACAGACTTCTCTCATGCAAACTTCTATAGAGTTCAATAGTGAGCCCTCTCAGGACAAGGTAATTCTCATAACTAGAGCATTGTGATATTAATGGTAAAGAGAATAGAGACATGGATGCAAAATAATTACTATTGGTCCAAAGAACTTCATATTTCCTTCTGATATCTTTAACATTAAAATATGTGTGTGTGTGTGTGTGTGTGTGTGTGTGTGTGTGTGTGTGTGTGTGGAGGGGGAGAGGAAGAAGGAATAACTGATACCTGCTGATAAAGATTTTCTTTTTAAGACAACACGTTTATCAACACTGTTACTCCTTTGCATGCCAGGTTACATTTTCCAAACAGTTAGAAAACTTTTCTATTTCATAGGGTGGAAAACTTTTCTACTTCATAGGATTCTCTCTCCTAATGTTTGGTGGCTCCAAGTACTTCCTGTACAGAGAATTGAACCTGTCCTAACCGTGTGTCCTAAGTGGGAATTTGGGGAAGGGAGAAGATGGAAGAAGAAAAAGTAGAAGCTCCTCATTGGCAGTGGTAGAGGACACAAGTCTATGACATGCAAGTCATAGCTAGGAGCATCCTTGTCAAATTCATCTGAAAACATAAAACCATAACCAAGCCAGTAAACATATGAACAAAAGACTATGGACTATTTTTTTAAAATATTAAGAAAGATTTTAGGCAAGAAAGATCAGTTTTGAATGAATTGTCCTGAAGGTCAGAGACAGAGTGTCTAGTGGTATGAAGAGAATGAGGATTGCTACCACAGAGCAACCTCTGGGGAAACACCTTGATATACCTGGAATTTAAGAACTGTCAGCAGACTTATTTACTAGACAACTTCTTTTTAGCACTCAGTTAAGTGGAAGGGTTGTCCTGAAAGAGAGTGAGAATTACCTCTTAAAAACAAGAGAATTAGGACCTCAGCTCAACCACTCAACAAATTTCAATGCTGGCATCCTTATTTCATGATTAATGGCTATGAGCATTATTCTAAGTATACATTATTTTAGAAGTTCATTATCTACCATTTGTTGGGCCACCGTTCACCATCCACAGGGACATGTTGTCTCCTAGCCAGAGCAAGAACTTTTATGATAGTTCATCTTTCTCCTTTTTGCACATTAAAAGAGCTAATTCTAGGAACTGAGCTCAGACCCTAGAATGTGCTTTGTTGCTATAACAAACTAGTTGTCTTTCCTGGAAAAACCAGTCCATCCAAGTTCTAAACCAAGATTTGGAAACAGAACATCCCACCCCAGTTTCAGTTGAGGATAAATACTATCTCCAATGCTTAGTGCATATGTGACCTTGACCACATCACTTAAACACCACCACCCCTATCCTGACCTCAGTCTTGTCCTTTGTCAAATGAGAAGGTTAGATCACATGGTCTCCGATGTACTAGTTCTGAATCTATGATACTTAAATAACTTCTAAATCTAAAGTCCTATAAGCCTATAATTCTATAAAGAAATTCAGGGAAGAGAAGGCTTGGACCTGGAGCAGTTCAAGATCCATTGAACGATGAACCAGCTTCAATGAACCAGGGTCAATGAACTAAGTTCAAATCTCACCTCAGGCACTGTCAATGTGACCTTGGGCAAGTCACATAACCTCTGTCTGCTTCAGTTTCCTCATCTGTAAAATGAGGATAATAATAGCACCTATCTCCCAAGATTTTTGTGAGGATAAAAATGAAAGAATATTTATAAAGTGCTTTGCAAATCTTAAAGCACTATGTAAAAGTTAGTTATTATTTATAGTCATCATAATAATAATACAGTGGACATTAATTCTTTTCAACTACTGATGCTTCATGCTCTGGGTTTTGTTTCTTTCCTAAAACAGCTGTGTTTTACTAGAAGCAGGATGGGATTTATGAAGAATTTAACCCTAGGCTTTAGACTATTAGCTTCCTAGACAGCAGATTTTGCTTTTGGCCCTCAGGATTTCACCTTTGCCTAATATCTAGACTTCCCAAATCTCTAAACCCATTCTGGGAGGTACCAAGCCTTCTAGACTTACTGAATTCTGTGCTAGACTGGCTCCTCAGGTTGAGAGACCGGACACACCTGAACCCTAGTTACATGCCTTCCCTTCCTCTGATGCTGCCACCAAATGTGAGGCTCCAGTCTAATCAATTAGTCTTCTCTTTCCTTTCTATTTTTTATCTCCAAAGACTCCAGTTCAAAAGTTTATATTTTAGGGGTTTATTTATAAGAGAGACTACACAATTCAGAAGTAATATAAAGGCAAATAATTGCAAATGTGTATTAAAGAGATCAATCTTCTCCCAGATGGAGTGCCATCTAAGTTTTCTAAAGCCATCCTTAATGAACGTTCCCCATGGCTAATTTAACCATCTTGATTCCATCTAGGCGAGAGCATCGATCCCTTGTGGCCTCACACAGAATGGAATTCAAACACTTAGATTTTCTGGATCAAGCACATTAGAGCATTCTTCCATTTTCAGCCAATGAGAAAGTCTGCTAATTTAAATGCACTTGCACTCATTACATAATCTTTTAGCTAACTTGCTTCCCCTCCCTCTCTCCTAAGTAAGAGAGGAAATAGAAAAATCCATCACAAAATTTTTCCCATTAGAATAATTCAGCCCAAGTTCATAACAGATATCTTTTCTTTATTCAAGATAATATCAAATAGTTTATAGGCAGCTGGGTGGTGCAGTGGATAGAGTGCTAGGCTGAAGTCAGAAAGATCTGAGTTCAAATTTGACTGCCAACACTTAATAGCTATGTGACCTTTGACAAATCACTTAACTTCTGTCTGCCTCAGTTTCTTCATCTGTAAAATGGGGATAACAATATCACTTAACTCACTGGGTTCTTATAAGAAGAAAATGGGAGCAATTTTTTGTCGTTTTTAGTCATGTCTGATTCTTCATGACCCCATTTGGGGTTTTCTTGGCAAAGATACTAGAGTGGTTTGCCATTTTCTTCACCAGCTCGTTTCACAGATGAAGAAACTGAGTCAAACAGGGTTAAGTGACTTTTGTCCAGGATCACACAATTAGTATGTGCCTGAGACTAGATATGAACTCACAAAGATGAGTCTTCCAGACTCCAAGCCTGGCACTTTATCAACTGTTCCACCTACCTGCCTTTAAAGTGGTATATGAACATTAGCTGTTATTGTTAGTATTATCATTATTCCCTCCTGGATCACTGCCTAGTTATAGTACAGGAGTTTGAATAGCTCAATGAAACTATGAGCTCTGCTAGTCAGGGTTACCCAAGATGGGCAGATTCAGACTTCAATTTAAGAAAGTAGGTTAAACCATCAGACCATATAGGTATAACCTAAATAACATCTGTTAGGAATATGAAGTGGAGGTGATGAATAGATTGAAGGGATTAAATCTGGTAGGATGCCTGAAAAACTATGGAGAGGTTTGCAATATCATACATGAGGCAGGAACAAAAAACATTCCAAAGAAAAAGAACAGGAAAGCAAAATGGCTGATGAGGACTTTCCATGTAGCTGAGGAAAGAAGTAAAGGGAAAGGAGAAAGGGATATACCCAATTGAATGCACAATTCCAGAGAATACCAAGGAGAGATGAGGTTTTCTTAATTGAGTAATATAAAGACGTAGAAGAAAACAATAGAATATGAAAGACAGGAGATCTCTTCAAGAAAATTAGGGATATCAAGGGAAAGTTTGGGGCAAAAATGGGTAAGATAAAAGACAAAAGTGGTTGGGACTTAGAAGCAGAAGAGATTAAGAAGAAGTGGCAGGAATATATAAAATAGCTATATAAGCAAGATCATCATATTACCAATAACCATGATAGTATGGTTACTGATCTAGAGCCAGACATCTTGAAGAATGAAGTCCAGTGGGCCTTAGGAAGTATTGCTAACAATAAGGCTAGTGGAGGTGTTGGAATTCCAGATGAGCTATTGAAAATTCTGAAAGATGATGTTGTTAAAGTGCTTCATCCAATATGCCAGCAAATTTGGAAAACTCAACCATGGCCACTAGATTTGGCAAAGATCATTTTATATCCCAATCCTAAAGAAGGACAATGTCAAAGAATGTTCAAATTGCCAAACAACTGCACTCATTTCACATGCCAGCAATGTTATGTTTAAGATTCCACAAGCAAGGCTTCAGCAATATGCAGAGCAAGAATTACCAGAAGAGCAGACTGGTTTTTGAAGAATCAGAGGAACTAGAGACTAAAACATCAACATTTATTGGATTATGGAGAAAGCAAGGGAGTTCCAGAAAAACATCTGCTTCTGCTTCATTGACTCTGGTAAAGCCTTTGACTGTGTGGATCACAACAAAATTGGACAAGTCCTCAAAGGAATGGGAATACCAGATCATCTTACTTGTCTCCCGAGGATCCTGTATGAAGGCCAAGAAGCAACAGCTAGAACCAAACAAGGAACAACTAACTGGTTTAAGTTTGGAAAAGGAGTACAACAAGGCTGTATGTTGTCACCTTATTTATTTAACTTTGATATGCAGAGTACATCATGCAAAATGCCAGGCTGGATGAATCAAAAGCCGGAATTAAGGTTGCCAGGAGAAATATCAACAATCTCAGATATGCAGATGATACCAGTCTGATGGCAGAAAGTGAAGAGGAATTAAGAAGTTCTTGATGAGGGTGAAAGAGGAGAGTGTGGAAGCTGGTTTGAAGCTTAACACCAAAAAAACTAAGATTTTGTCAACTGGTCCCATTACTTCCTGGCAAATAGAGGGAGAAGAAAAAGAAGCAGGGTCAGATTTTGTGTTTTTGAGCTCAAAGATCACTGCAGATGACGACTACAGCCGTGAAATTAAAAGATGCTCAATGGAAGGAAAGCTATGACAAATCTAGACAGCAGACTAAAAAGCAGAGACATCATCTTGCCAACAAAGGTCCATAAAGTCAAAGATATGGTTTTGTATGTCTGTGAGAGTTGGACTAT